TCAGGATTCTTAACAGCTGCCAGGTACTTCCAGGTGCAGCCGGGCATTAATCCATCATAACGTGCACACATTTGCACATACGCCGTTGGAGGAATCGTAGAAACCTAGGGACTGACCTCCCCTGGTGCTTTGGGCTGGATCGTAATGGTCATTTCTGGCACGCTGATGAATGACCACCTGATCTGAATGTCTTCTCTCTCCTCTTCCATGGTGAGCTCCAGCTTGAAAAAGAAAAAACAAAGGTTATTGGAGGGCTGCTGTCTCCACCAGAGCCTCACTGTTCATGTGTGTGTGCGCGTGTGTGTATGTGTGTGTGCGCGTGTGTGTGCGCGCGCACGCATGCGCATGTGTGTGTTTGTGGGGTGTGTGTGTGTGTGTGTGTGTGCGCGCGCGCATGTGCGTGTGTGTGGGGGGGGTGTGTGTGTGTATGTGGTGTGCGTATGTGTGCATGTGTGTTGATTTCCTGTGACAACTGCTTAGCTCCTCTTGCCAGGCTGTGTGCCTGGAAAGGAGGGTCCCAAGCTCCCCTCGCCTCCACCGTCACTGCATGTACCTTGCCCCATCCCCACCAGCGCTGTCCTCTGCCTCCACCTCAGGGAGGAACCTCAGGGTTGGTGGCTGAAGGCCAGATGTCATGAAAACTCTGCAGTCTCCTTTAAATGAACAGTTCTCTGTATTTTGCATTTCTTTTCTGGGAGTGTCACCAAAATGTAACAGAGGAGACACAGAAGGGAACCAGGATGCCTGACCCAAGCCACGCTCACACGTCCCTGAGGGCTGTGCACAGAGCACAGTGGGCTCTGACCCTGTCTTCTTGGACCACCACACAACCTCTCACTGGGCTCCAATCTGTCATGGTGCCCCATCCAACTGTCCCCATCTGTCATGGCAAAAGAATGGCCCCCCAGAGATGTCCAAGTCCCGATCCTCGAGACCTGTGAATATGTGACCTGACACGGCAAAAGGGACTTGGTAATGTGATTAGCATAGGGACCTTGAGATGGGAGATAACCCTAGGTTGTGCTGGTGATCCCAGTGGAATCACAGGAGCCCTGAAAATGGCAGAGGAAGGCAGACGGCCACGCCAGAGATGTGATCTGAAGACGAAGGAAGGATGCCAGCGGCCCAGGGACGGGGCTGCCCCTAGAAGCCGGGAATAAACCGCTCGCAGCTGACAGCCAGCAAGCAATCAGCCCTCACACCCACCACTGCAAAGAGCTGAATTCTGCCAACCACCTGAAGGGACGAGGAAACAGATTCCTCCCGAGAGCTTCCAGAAAGGTGGGCAGCCCCCAGGACCTGGATTTTACCAGTACTGCACACCAGACCTCCAGAACGGGAATCCAATACATTTGTGCTGTTTTGAGCTCAGTTTGTGGGAATGTGCTTCAGCAGCCATAGCAAACTCATATGCCAGTTTTATTTTTCATCCAGAGACAAAACTCTTAGCTCTTCACATCTGCATCCTCCTCCCCACCACCCAACAGAAGGGACGGTTGGCTTCAGCCTTGTGTTTTTGACGATTCGGGACTCTGACCTCCTGTTAGCAAGACAGCGAGGGAAACGATGCCCCCTTGTAACAAGTGCACATTCATTTCACTGCCACAGGCGCCCGAGTCATCCCCCCGGGGTGGCGGTGCGGTGGGTGGGGCAGCAAGACTGCCGCTGGCCCCTTTGTGCACTTTTTATCTGAAGAACTGAGAAGTGGAACGAACGCCTCCCGCCTTGGGCATTAATAATTCACCCACCCCCAGCAGGTGCCTCTGCCCACAGGCCGCCTTCAAACTGTGCTAAGGGGTCAAAGATACAATCATGCTACCTGTGTCTGAGCAGCTAAAATGACCCGTATAAACCCCATCTCAGAAACCACATTGGCTCCATTAATGTTCGGGATCCTTCTGGCAGTCCTGAACCATGCGTTAAATGTGCCCCAGGCTGTGAAGTTATTTTCTAGTCACATTGTCCAAAAAACTGGGGGAACAGGAGGCCTTAGCATCTGACAAGTCCATGAGGTCAACACTTAACCTCTTCAACTCAAAAAGGAGGTGTTATTGGGGTGGGCTTGGGAGGGTGTCTAGATTTCAGAAAAAAAGCCATTTACCATTTAGGTGGCCAGAAAAATCTTGTTTGCCCTGGCTTATTTAAAACCATGTCTTTGTACAGGGCCGGCCGAGTGGCGCGTTGGTTAGGAGTTGGCTTGGGACGGCCACTCTGAGCAGCAGGGCCCCGGTTCAGATCCCACATGAGGGCCAGTGATGCTGCACCTTCTACAGCTAAGATGGTGAACAACAGCTCAACCTGGAGCTGGGCTGCCGTGAGTTGCCATGAGCAACCGTCCAATGGCCGGCGACCGATCTGCCTCATCTGGGAAGAGCGCAATGATAATACCAACATGGGACAGCAAAGCGATGTCCTCCACAACTAGACTAAAGAACGAAACCTGTCTGTTCCCCTTCCCCGATTCCCCAACGTTGTTCTCCTCCCCCATTTCCCCCAAAAAAATCTTAAAATAAAATAAAACCACGTCTTTGTACAACATGTATATGAAATATCATCTTCGCTTGTGCCCGAGAGCTCTGTATGACTTGGGCTCATCCCCCAAATGAGCAGCGAAACACAAGGACCCAGGAGAGGAAATAGGGGGCTGAACCGGCAGTGACCCTAAAACAGACCCAGAAATTCACAATTTCTAAATCCCAGCTAAATGGGGTCTTCAGTGAACATCTGCTTAATGTGAGACACAGTTATGTCATGGTTCAGACATTCATACATTTCCCTCGTAAGTCTATTATAATTACGATATGTGTCTCTATACAATTGTTATGTATAATTATGAATATTAATGTGTAACTATGCATACATTATAAAGAAGTTATATATGGCTAGTATAATTATTATATGTCTATTTCCTGAAAAACAATGGTAATACTCATTTTAAACATATACAAATAATAAAGGGTCTTTTAAAGTTGAGTTTTTTGAAGACTAAACAGAGGAATGCTCCCATCCAGCCCCTGGGCTGCTGTCCGAGGCTGCAATTGACCTGAGGCCCAAACCTGATCCTGAAACAGGCACTTTCGGCATCCCACTTGCCATTTACCTGATTCTACCAGGCACCTGATTTGTTTACGTGCCTTGAAAAATACTGTATCTCCCATTCCTGACAGATAGATGGGTAACCTCTGAATTATATATACATATGTGTGTATATGTGTGTGTGTGTGTAGGTGTGTATGTGTATATATATATATATAATATACATATCACATTCACATTCTTATTTCCTTCCGATACAGTATAGAAGGCTACAGTTTGAAAATTATGAAATGAATGGTAATAAAAACATGGGTACTCACAACCTGTGATCACACCATGCTTGCCCTACAGGTTTAGGAGAACGGTTTTCCCCACTGTACCTGTAAATGAAATGGGGACAGCCGCACGCCACACTGCTGGTGCCCTGTGTCCTTGGGCGAGGCGGGCACCATGCTGACCAGAAACTGAAGCGTCTGGCCTACCACATGACAGGACACCACCTGCGAGAGGAAGGAGATAGCAAACTTCAGTGGAACTTTATACAAGAGAGAGATAGAGAGAGGGAGAGAGTTTGAACCACAAACACCCTTATTTCATTGAACAAAATATAACTCAGCAAGGACAAGAACTTAGAGTTTCAAACTTGGAAAAAATATCCAGAGTCGCATCTATTCTATTATGTAGTGGTTTGAAAACTGGAAACAATACTTCTAACCTTTTCTTCCTGATGGATTTCTCAGGAGCTAACCCCTTTCTTGCCCAGATCTAGTGGTTACGCTCTTTCCACAAGTAAAGATCTTTTTCTTTCAGTATTGCTTTGTTCTATTTCTCCACACCAGCTGATTTTAAATTCCACCCCCAGACATGTCCACATTCATACAAGGGAAAGCCGCTAGCCATCGTCAGTCACTAAAAAATGAGCCTTAAAAAGAAAATAAGTTACAGATGTTACAAGTAAAAGATAAAAAAATGTACCCGGAACACAAGAAGTTATTTCTACCTAAATAATGTTTAACCTATCATGATTTTCAAAGATGCGGGGATAACTCAAAGAACATATGACATATGTTATGAAATGATACAGTCTTAACCAAAGCAGAATTATAAAATGAGCTCGTTTAAAGACCTAGAAGACGAAGACAAATAATTACCCCAGGAATAAACCAGGCCGTACTCCCCATATAAATCACCACGCATTTCAGAGGGATGGCTGATTGTCGTTACTGCACGAAGAAATATCCAGGTCCTGCCACAGAATCTTTCTATAGGAGCAGAACTCCTAGAACGAAGTGGGCCACCCTCCTGGCAGAATGCCAAGCAAGCCCAGGGTGGGGTGACTTCCAGGCCAGGTGCCAGGTGTGCAGGGGCTGAGAGGAGGGACGGTGGGGGACGGTGGACAGGAGCTAGTCGGTGGCCAGTGTGTCTGGTAGAACCAAGCCATCAGAGGCTGAGAGTGAGACAGGACAGGACGGAACCCCCATATTCCCGAGGGAACTGATGACCCCACATTGGAGGATGTCACTTGGGAAGGAAGAGAAAATTCTTTAATTCTCTGGTGGGCTTATCAGAATCTAAAGTACCAAGTGGAAAGATTATCAAAACAGTTCCTTTGTCGGGTTCTGCTATTTCACCGAGTTCGGGCTAGGACATCCCCTTTTCTCTGTCTCATCCCTGGCTAACTTCTTCCTTCCCACGTCCAGCGTCTGTCCACTCAGGGCCCACCTACCGCCTCCACCAAAACCTGGCTGTACATCCGGCCCCGCTGGCAGCGGGTCAGTTTCCAGTGGCCACCCTAAAAGACCTCGATGGCACAGATCTAGAAAAAGGAAATCTTGCCTGGTCTCAATGTTGGCAGATGATAAAATGAGCTCATCTAAAGGCCCTTATTTGCACAACCCTTTATTTTCATCTGTTCTTGTAGGCTGCTCTCAGAGGACTGATTTACGTGGATTAGTTAAAATATCTTCATCAGACTATTGCGTCTCCAGAGTTCACAGGAGGTTGGAATAAAAAAAAATGTTTGTATAAAAAATGTCGTCTATTCATTTTAAAAATAAATGCTCTATAAACAATCCTTCTTAGAGGGACATATTTTGATGCCAGATGAGTTACACACACAAATGACACGACACAGAGAAAGTTCACTGTCCCTTGTCTCAACAGCCCAGGCCTTTTTTACTGCGTAGCGTTAAAAAAAACAGACAATGACTGGTTTACTTCTGTTATTTCTTTGGAATTTTCTATGCTGAGTTAATGAGAATTTTACCGAGAAAACTGACCGCTTCACTGGTGCCCTGACTTGAGCATGAATGAGTTGGTGTCCCTTGAATCTGTTCTTCAAGAAGCTTCCGCGCTACTCCATTCCTTGTTTATAGATATCTCGGGTACTTGATTAAAACCAAATAAATAAACTACAAAAAAATAGTTTTGAAAAGACTTTAAAACTTCTGGAATGTATGACTCCAAAGGTCACAATTAACATTTTAGTCAAGTCAAGAAGGAAGGTGCCATCACCAAAAATGGGGCGTCTACAGGTCCAAATGTCTTCTCATAGGGACCCCCAGAGGGTCTTCCCAGCCTGATGGCTTCCCGACTCTCTAACTAAAGCCAGTCACACAGACCAGCCATTTCTTGGCCTCCCTTTAGCGTTCAGCCGGAAACGCTAATTGAAGTAACAATCTCATCCTGCCCTCACCATCTCAATATGGCCAAACAAAATGCTGCCGCCGCTCTCACGAGTCCAGTGGGAGGGATAACGATTGGGGCCACATCCTTTTCCAGGCCAGCCTCCGCCCCTGCCACCCTGAGAGCAATAATGCCCCATTTGTCAAATGGACAAGGACAAAATGGAAAAGAGGTTTTAAAAATATTTAAGTAATCTTCTTTTAGTGCAGTAAGGTGTTATCCACAATGGAGATTAAATTCCCTCAACCCAGGCGAACAGTGGCGAGGCCTCACTGTCCCAGGGGGTCCCCTCTTGGAGCAGCAGAAGGCAGGGTCATCTGGTGCAAGATTAAACGGGCCCTTCCAGCTAGTCAGCCTTCCTAAGTAGCCAAAATGTCCGGGGGTGACAGCTACCTAAATCCACTGAACAGGTAGAGAGCCTGCTCTTGACCCCAGAGTTCCCGGGCCCTCAGCACACCATGTTTATGGGGTTTCCTTCTGAAGTTCCCAGGTTCGTCCCTCAGAGCCTCCCAGTGACAGGGAGCTGTCACTTCCTTGACGCTTGGGCTTCCCTCTGAAGCAGTCTGATCGTGATACTCGATCTTTACAGTTAAACAGAAAGGATATCTAGTGTCTGCATTGGGCCCGAGGACTTCTCTGAGAACAGAAGTGAACCCGCGGGCCCCAGAGCAGGACTCCATGGAGCTGAGAGCACAGGGCTGAGCGCCCCCGAACACAGGTGCCATGAACCCACCAGCTTTATCCTTGAGGTATTTTTTCCAAAGCAAGCAAACAACTCCCCGATTACATAAGCCATTTCAAAGTCAAGCACCAGGCAGCTGAGCTGTGCACTCCAGATAAAGCCCCTTCCTCTCTACATAAGAGAGTGTTGGGGGTGAGGGGGGGAGCTGCATCGTGGTGAGGGTGCTAGAGATGACAGTCTTGAGCTCAAAGATCATGTTGACATAAGAACGTCCAAACCCGTACAGAACGTTTATAAAAATTTATTTGAACCAAACCGAAGATACACCTGGAAGTAAGTTCTGCACAGACTGAGACCAAGGCTTCCTGGAATGGCAGTCTGCAGTTTACTTGATGCATTTGGAACTAAGGAGGGGACACAGGGGTACAAGGAGGCGGGAGAAAGCAAGGCAGAATAGGATTACAGGAGAGTTAACAAAATCCTGTGCTCTCTCCAGGGTGGTTTTGAAAAGAGGAACTTCCAAGGTGTGGGCGCACACAGAAACAGTGGACAGGGCTGGCTTAAGGCAAAGATAATAAAACTTTTACTAAAGAAGTTATATGCCTGGGGCGTGCCCACCCACCATGACCCGCCCAGTTACGGATCTAAGATCCGGTCAACCTGTCAGGTTACTGTCCATCCACAGGCACCTGGGCCGACACACTGTGACCGTGTGTACATCTCACCACCTGCGCCCACAGGACGGCGCGGGGAGGCCTGCATTCACCTTTCCGTGCTCCCTCCAGCTTCAGGACTTTAAATACTCACATCCTATAAGCTCAGTTCCATTGCTGAGATGGTGGAGCCCAAGAATTCCAGGCCTGGCACACCCTAGTTTTGCTACCGTTCACCAACCAGAAAGTTCCTTAACGTCTTCGTGTCCCACTGCAGTCTTTCCACTTTCCTTTCCAATTACGCATCTTGTGCAGCTGCCTCAGCTCCTTCTCTTAGAATACTCTGGAGAACTGGAAATAATTTAATTACTTTTGTCTCCCGAAGAACTAGGAACACAGCCGAGAAAAAATGCATCTAAAAGGGTTTATGTCATTGAATATTTTTCACTTTAATCCTCCTCTGTAACATCTTGAGGAGAGGATGCCAAAATTAAGTGGAAGTAAAGACCCTTCACGAATCATTTAGAGTCCCCAGTCTGCTTTCTTTCCCAGCTCTGCAACCTGGTCTCGCCTCTGTAAATATTCCTTAAGACAGCACGAATCTGATAGAAAATATTGTTTCTACTCTGGAACAGTTTAAAAAGTAAAAATCCAGGCCGGCCGAGTGGCGCGTTGGTTATGAGCTGGCTTGGGATGCCAGAGGGTCCCGGTTCAGATCCCACACATGAGAGCCAGTGACACTGCCCTCTACAGCTAACATGCTGAACAACAGCTCAACCTGGAGCTGGGCTGCCGTGAGTTGCCGGCGATGGTGTAGGCTGCAGCCCCTGCTGCAGTGGGTTGCCATGGGCTACCGTGTGTAGATAGCAGCCGGCGTGAGCAGCCAGCAGCTGCAGTGAGCGGCCATCCAGAAGCCGGCGACTGATCTGCCTCGCCCAGGAAGAGCGCAATGATGGTGCCAACTTGGGCCAGGGAAGCGACGTCCTCCACAACTAGACTGAAGACCAAAAGGACAGCAACTTGTCTGTTCCCCATCCCCCAATTCCCCAGCACTGTTCCCATCCCCCCAATTCCCCAATAAAAATCTTAAAAAAAAAAAAAGTAAAAATCCATTAGGGCGAAATATGATCAGAACATCTATAAGGTAAGTCCTACTTGCCCAGTCGTTCACAGCATATGGCTGAAGACGGGTTTTTATACGCAACTGTCCCAGTGGGCTGAGATGGAAAATGCTGGAAATAAGATGGTGGCCAAGCTCAAGGAATGCTGGGCAGATGCTCTACTTTATCATGCTCGAGGGGTGTGCCTGGGACCCGAGGGGCCCCGACACCACACCCCCAGCAACAGAGTCCACCCCTTCTCTTGTTGGGAGGCTGTGAAATGAACAATGAGGCTTTGGTAACAGTCCACTTCCAGGAGGTCCGGTCACCACGCAGTGGAGCTTAAGGCACACCTTCTTTAGCTTCAAAATCTGTGCACG